TTGGTGGTCTGTTCCACAATCAGCTCCTGGTCTAGTTTTCGCAGCTGATTTTGAGCTTCTCCTGCGGTCCATAGGCTTTTCAAAACAGTGATATTTTGGGGGATAGACTGTTTTATCTTTCTCCTATGCAGCACTTCTGGTAAGTCTGAACTTCGTGCTTGACCACTGTGCCATGAAGAATAGGTCAGATGTTTATATTCTAATCCTTACAATCAAAAAATTAAAATCTTTTCTTTACTCAATGCTGATTTAGGCCATTGAATCAAATGAATGAATCAGTATCCAACAATTCTTTAGTTCTTATAAAACACAAGCTCATGACAATGATCTTGTTCCTTTTCTTCAAAAACAGTGAAAGTAGCAAACTGTGAATCCTTGAGACTCAGCACTTCAGATTTTAAAGGTAACTGACAGAAGGCAATCTCATTGCAGGTTTTGGATGCTCTTGATGAGATGGGTGATCTCCTAGGACTGAAATACTCCAGGCAGAGGAAATCAACACGTCCACAACTGTGCGATGAAACAGACTATGAACCTGATGATTAAGTCTTCTGGTCCTGAATGGAGTATAAAGATTTTGCCAGGAAGACCTCCTTCCTTGCCTCAGCAGAAACACAAATGAGTTTCTCCCCCTTGCTAAAGACAATATTGGTTTCCAGACCATGTTAATTGGACCGAGGGAGATGATGTTGTGTTTTTTAATGTCTCAAACTTGAGACTGGGAAGATGAAAATATAATTTCAGGTTTAAATTTATCCTCTCCCAAGTATTCTGCCAGAAACACACACTCACACACAGACACATAATTTTAAGGATATATTTTATGGCAATGAGCCTGTGTTTTAGTTGCTACTGTGCAGTATCTTTGGTCCAGACTCTTTCAGGGGGTCCAACCAAAAGAGAAAGTTTTTAATTCTGTAGATCTCACGATGTGTTTACTTATTTCGTCTGCAGACATGGGTGAGGGGAGTGGGCAGTGGCTGACTTCCTTGTTGCACTCATAAAAGTACCAGCTAGAACTCATCCATGTTCCAAGCAAGAGGGTAAAGAAATGTTGCTTCTACCATTTGCTGCATTTGGACTTTCTCCAAGGACAAGTGTTAAAAGGCACTGTTAATGTTTCAAGAGGGAGAAGGAGAGCATCTAGCCAGCAGAGACAGAAGACATCTTTGAAAGAAACATTCCTTTCTCTCTTGCTGGTCTCTTGCAATTTTGCAGTTAAGGTCTGGACAACTCAAGACTTCTGTTTCATAAGAAAAGGAGCAGAAATAAAATATGAGCTAAATTTAGGTCTAGACTTTTGAGTCTTCAAAGTCATAACCACTTGAATACTGTTGGTGCCACACAGAGTGAATGGTGAACATACACACCCTTTATTACTGTCAGGAATGAGTTGTCATTTTCTTATTTAATGTTGAATAAATGGTGAAATTCAATTTCCTTTAGTGCTGAATCCCAAGACCACACTTGAAGAACATCAATAAAAAACATCTAAAACCAAATTGTATTCAACTTTTTAAAGACAGGGACTGTTTGGTTTTAGACCATTAACACAGGCACTCCAATATGGTGCAAAGTGAGCTTTTACCCTATTGGGCAACTAACTGTAATTTCTCTCTCGTCTCCCTCCAAATGTGAGCACAAACATCTCTGGGGAAAGTAGCCCTTTGCTAATTGGATCTGGTTGGTATGCAAGAAGCCAGTGGAAAACCTTATCTTTAACAAGCTCGCAGATGGTGCCCAGATTTGGAAACTAAGAGCAGTGGTGACCTTTTTTTTTTTTTTTTTTTTTTTGCAAAGCTTCTGTAACAGTTCAAATGAGTTACAGAACATTCCACTCCATCAAATGACACTGTAAACAAATCACTTCAAGAGAAGCTGGGCTTTGCGTGACACAGATAGATCCTTTCATGTTGTGCACGGAGATAGAAACTCAACCCACAGTGCCTGTGCTGGATGGAGCAATGTGCACTGATGGTCAAAGCCCATCAGAGAATAAAGATGATCAGTGTGGAAGTCTTTTTACGGGAAAATTATAAGTCCCAGTAGGGACATCAGTGTAAGAGTAGACCCTAGCAATACAGTCCTATGAATGCTTAGTGTAGACAGGAACACTGTTGGCACAAGAGAAGAGGTGGTAGGTACTGATATCTTTTTTTCTATTTTTGTTTTTGTTGTTGTTGAGAATGCATACAGTGGAACAGACATCAGTGCAGAGCTTCTAATATGTACAAATATGTGGTATTATCTACACTTTCTTAGTTGTACAATTATACTCTCTCTCCCATAACAACTTGTTCCACCCCTATTAAGAAAAACTTCCTGCTGCCTAAGTTTCCTATCTAGTCTTGGAAGTGGCTGTTGTTAATTTGACTAAGGCAGATACTCTTTTTGTTTTTTCAGTCTTTTCTCTGTGTATCATGATATTGTTTATTCATCCAGCTGTGAGGAATTTTTTTTACTGTTCTCTTTTTTAATTAATTTCAGTGAAAGTTTACAGAAACTTTGGATTTCCATTCATTCATTGTTGCACTTTTCTCCCTGCCCAACCTCCCCCAGTTCACTCTTCTCTTTGAAAAGTAAAAGAAAAATTCTTTCATTGTTATACAATCCTTCCCCCCAAGTCCACTCCACTATGCAGACTTCATTCTAGACTCCTGTCATGACAATAATACCTAATCATATATCCCTTTAAAACTGTTCTCTCCCTCATCTGTTTCAATGCAGTATACATAAGTATATCCCTTCTTTCTCAGCCTTTCCCCAACCCCGATGTCAGTCCCGTTTTACAACAGTGGCACTGTGCAGTATTTGTCCTTTTGTGACTGAGATATTTCACTCAACATAATGTCCTCCAGGGTCACCTATTTGGATAGTATTTCATGAGTTCTTGTTTTTTCAATGCAATGTAGAATTCCATTGTATGAATATGCGAAAGTTTCTCTATCCACTGGTTTGTTGATGGGCACTTAGGTTGTCTTCAACTTTTTGCTATTGTGAACAAAGCCGTGATAAACATGGGTGTGCATATATCTTTGGGGCATATTCCCAATAGTCTAGAATTTATAAAATATTTGAACACCACAACAAGATAAAGGTAAATAACCCAATTGAAAAATGGGCACAGGTATGAACAGACAGTTCACCAAAGAAGACATTCAGATGGCAAACACAAGAAGAGATGTTCCAAATTCCTAGCTCTAAGTGAGATGCAAATCAAAACAACTATGTGGTATCATTTCAACCCAGTAAGAATAGTAAAATTTAACAGAGCAGCAAACAACAAATGCTGGTGAGGTTGTGGAGAAACTGGAACCTTTATTCACTGTTGGTGACAGTGTAAAATGGTGCAACCACTATAGAAGGCTGTTATGGCGCTGTCTCAAAAAGTTGCAAATAGAAATACCATTTGACTCAGTAGATATTAAGTTAAATTATTATTGGTTTTAAGAAGTTAAGTGAAATTAGTGTTTGTTTGGTTTTTTGTTTGTTTGTTTAATTTTTATTTTATTTTATTTATTATTTTGTATGTGTACCGTCAAATTGGATCTGACTGATACAGGAGGAGATTGTCCCTCCTTCTCCAGGAAAGCATCTGGTAGATTTGAATCACGCACCTCTGGAATTACAGTGTAGTTTCTTGCCACTAGGCCACCAGAGCTCCCTTAGTGTTTGTTTTTAAGAAGACTTCAGGAGTTGTTTCTGGTATAAAATTTCAGGATTAAGGCAATAGATTTGAATAGTCTCATTTGCTCCAGAAAATCTGAATTCCATGATTATTTTAAATTCTGTTCTACATTTTCTTCTATGGAATCGTTGATCAAAATATGCAGGATAGATAGTGAAGCAACATCCAGTTCTTCTGGTCTTATGGAAATGAGAGTAGATGTTCACGACAGCAGTTAATCAGACATGGAATGCCCTTTACTTATCTGTGACTCTTCTTCCTCACTGGCTCCAGGAAAACAGAGGCCACTTGCTGTACTTTGGACAACTATGGCATATTTTAATACCCTAGGAACTATGAACCAGGAAGTGGAGCAGAAACACTAAACACCTCATCAGGTCAATTAACCAGGATGTCCCAGGACACAAGTGAACATGCACACACAGACATGCACATGCTTTTCCTTCCTTCACAGAACTGGTATGCATATCCAAACCCATTGTGATTGAGTTGGTCCTGGTGTATAGTTAACCCTCTAAGAGAGAGTGAGCTGCCCCGCAGGGTTCTTAGAGCTACAAATCTTTAGGAAAGTAGACTGCCAAAACTTTCTCCAGATGGGTTAGAATGGCCAATTTTAAGTAGCCGCTAAGTATTTTAACCACCACAACATTGGGGCTCCTAAGCAAGTATATGAAGGTAGAGAAATGAGAATGTGTTTGGCTGATGGATGGAAGACATTATTCCAGAAAACCACGCTCAAAGTCTCCAGGCAAATACGTGAAAGGATGGTAAATCCCCACAATAAAGACTCATTCCTAATCTTGCAGAACTATGATGTCATGGGCATTTGACCACATATTTTCGTTTGATAGAGACCATATAAGTTCAGAACTTACCTATAAAGCATGTTAAAATACAGATGTCTGAGTTTTGTAGCATGTCTCCATAGAATCATAATAATAGAATCATAATGCTCAGGAAACGACCTGTTAATCAAAATTTCAGGTGATTCTAAATCACACCAAAATGTGTTCACCAGTATTAGAGTATGGATTTCAGAAACCAGTTCAGTCTAATAACAAAGCAAATACCTAGTTCTCAGTCTATGCAGATATTTAAAGATATTGAAACTGATAAAGTAAAATGAATTTTTCTATCCCTAATCTTTTATCTTCAATGGGACATGTTTTAGGTATTTTAGGTATTTGTTTATTGAATTGTATCTCCCCCCAAATGCATGCATTGATACATGGACATTAAAGGATGACTCCTCATGATCTGATAAACCCAGTAGTTTTAAGAGGATTAAGAGTGGAATGTAAAACCATTAAACCCATCACAGCCCTCATCAGATTTAAGTTTCCCTGATGAAAGAAGAAGTTCAGGCTGCTTTGAAGGACATGGCAAAAAATAAGGCTCCAGGAATAGATGGTATACCAACTGACATATTTCAGTTAACAGATGCTGCCCTGGACGTGCTCACCAAGTTCTGCCAAGAAATCTGGAGAACGACCACTTGGCCAACTGACTGGAAGAGATCCATATTTGTTCCTATCCCAAAGAAAGGCGACCCAACCGAATGTGGAAACTACAGAACAATTTCACTGATTTCACATGCAAGCAAGATTTTACTGAAGATTATCCAAAAACGACTGGAACAGCGCATCAACAGAGAACTACCAGAAGTCCAGGCTGGTTTCAGAAGGGGTCGTGGTACTAGAGATATTGTAGCTGATGTTAGATGGATCTTGGCTGAAAGCAGGGAATACCAGAGGAATGTCTATCTGTGTTTCATTGACTATGCGAGGCATTTGACTGTGTAGATCATAACAAACTGTGGCTGACTCTGAGAAGAATGGGAATCCCAGAACACTTGATC